TTACCCGGGTACCCGGGCAAATCGGGTAATACCCGACTACCCGGGTAATAAAAGCCCCGGGTAATACCCGGGTAATCGGGTACCCGGGTACCCGGGTATCATCAGCCCTAGTACATACACTCTATAACTATATCACTACTAACAATTTTTCAATTGCTTAAAACGATTCACAAGAGGCTTATAATTTGTTGGCAATTAAGAACCAATGACGGATTTAATTTAAATCTTTAGTAGCAATTGTACCTCAACCAAATATGTGTAAGTCACCGCTCGAGAAAACCGTTTCGTGCGCGGTTTTCTATTTTCAAAAGATCATTACTATTATTTATTATCCAGGCTGCGTTCGTCAGCATCAGTCTCTTTTATTTCTAAACTATAATTGATGGAAATGCCTAATACCATGTTCTGACCGACTGGTAAAACTGGTTTTCGACCTAAAACTTGTGTTTTCGTCCATGTAAAATCTGTCAAACGAAAACCAGTTTTCGCTGAAAACTACTTGAAAACTCACGTTCCACTCGTTCCAATCGGTGTCTTCACTAGTTTTTTTCGATTATTTATCGAAGTGGAAGTCATATTTTATCATCTTTAATACGCTATTTCGGATTTATTGTTAATTGGCAGACCAAAATAAAATAAGCATGGAAGTAAAAGGTTGTTAATGAAAAGAAATTGAAGGAAAAGTATTTTTGTTTTGTATTTGTGCCGCAAAACTGTAAACAAAGGATTTAAGAAATGTCAACGAAAACACCAACAGTCGGTGTGAACAGCCGTCAGCCCACAATCCCAAAACTCGTTTTCAAGGTGTTTTCGTTACGGTTTTAGTGATCGCATTTTCGTTAATTTCAAGAAAAATCGGGCCACGATGGACTCTGTTATAGCACCCAATACTAATGGTAACTTTCAGTATCTTTTTACAGTCGCCTATGTAAAAATTTAACTATATTATTTATTCTATTTGGAGAAAATATATGCCACTGACATCAAACTTTTCATCTCGTGTTTCAATAACAATATCAATAAATACATTGATTTCAATATCGATAAGTACATTTATCAGTAACACTATCGATATATATATATCAATAAGAACATCGATTCTTCTATCGATAAAAACACATACAAATTTCGGTATTCCTATCGATAAATATAACGATTCTAAAATCGATACATTTATTGATACAAATATCGATAACATGAGCGATAAGTTTATATTTTCGGAGCAATTAATAAAAATCAAAATCTAATCGTAAAGTATGAGGATTTAACAGCACACTCCCATCAAAATTTTAGCAAAATAAAAATTAGATTTTCTTCGCGCTAGAATGATTGTTTTTCCCACTGCGCAACTGTTGGAACTTCGCTCCAAAGAGGGCCAATGGGCGGAGTTTTTTGGTCTCATCCGAAGCGCCAAATAAGGAGTAGAAAGCAGAACGACCTTTACAGCAACAATATGTCCTTTATTTACCAACAAATGTAGCCGCATTTCATTTAAATGCATAACAAGAATTTTTCACAGTTTTAACATTCATATAAACTTTTATTTTAATAAATTTGTTATTTCTATACTTTCATTTGAATAATAATTACATACATTTAAATTTTAAGTATTTAGCTACATGTAAAATAATATATTTATATACTTACATATATATGTATATACATAAATCCATACATGTAAATAGTTAACATTACAATAAAGTGATAGTAAATCTATTTGTAATACATTTGTATACAAATATGAACGGTTAAAAGAAATAACATTATACATACACCTAACTACATATGCACTTACATATGTATGTATGTATGTACATATGTACCCTTTTACTTTTACAGCTTTAAAGTACCTTCATTCAAACAAGTATGCCTAAAACATACATAATATGTGAATATATTATACATATCATTAGGCTACCAAGTCAAAAAATTTCGCGTTTTTTTTTAAGCAAGGAAGCGTTGACAATTTCAGCTTTTCTTATGCACTCTTTTGAAATGTTCTGTTGTTTACATATTTAGTAGGAGGCCAGGTGCAAACATTATTTTTTTTTATATGCGATAGAATTGAGAAAAAGATGCGGTAGATTTTAACTTACTCAAGACAACAATATATGTACATAACCTAAGTCGAGATAGGCCATTTTCCCTTTAAAGCGATATTTCATCCGGTTCCAAAATAATATTTTAACGACTGCTGGATGTAATTCAAGATGCCATCTTGATAGAGGCCTTATAAAAATACAAAATTTTTCAAAATTTTTATGTATTTTATTCAAAGTCAAACCTTCTAAAGTCACTTAAGCTTTTTTAAATTGCCGGGCACAGATATGTACACACGTACATAATACTTATAAATAATAAGAACTCAAAGAGTTTTTTCTTTGACTAGCAAGCGTTTAAAATTAGAACATGAACTTATGAATTAACCTTTTTACAAATTTATCAATTTAGAAATGCACCGCCAAAAAGTGTTCGTAATGCTGCCAAGTTTTTTTTTTTGCTTTTTTCGATGTTGCTAAAAAGTTCAGTACTTCGAACAAAAGTTACCGGACAAATGGAAATAAATTGTGCACCTTAACCCCTTTATGAAAAAAATAATATTTGTCGAAAAGTTTTCGCTGTGAAATGAAAGCGCTTTTTCACAACGTTTTGTGGCTGTGAAAAAGAGAAGTGGATAGTTTACTAAAAAAATGTTGTAAAGAATATTCTTGCTTTTCACTCACAAAATTAATTTACTAAATAATTACTTGCTAGTTGTTAATGCAAAAGCTTTTAATGAACGAGAATCGCTCAATATCAGGCACCCGACCAGTTATGACTTAAAATAAAAGTTTCGAAAAAAGTTTATTTCCGGCTAGAATTTTTTTGATATAAAATTACAGTAAAAAGTTGACTTTTATTAATTGAATGAGACAAAAACAACTAAACCAAGCCAATATTACTATTTAAGTAAATTTGGTATCAGTCGATTAGCTTTTAACAAGTGAATAAAAAAACTAGTTACAATAACATGCTTTAAATTGAAGGAAGTGCGTAGAACCTTCAAAAAAAAAATTTACATCAATCCGAATTCTTAGCCAGTTAAAATTTGCAATTTAATCTACGCATATAAGATGCAATAAATCTGCATACTCGTTGTTTTTTTTTTTTATTTAAATACTTTACTTTTTATTTGGCAAGCCGTTTACTATCGCAAAAAAATTTGTTGGCTTTATTTAAATGTTATCATATGACTGAAACAATAAAACTCAGTTTTTAATAGTTAAGATTGTACAATTTCCAAAAGAGTTAGAAAAATACAAAGGCACCCTTGATGCATACAGAGAACATCATGCGAACGACGAGGACTCTAACAATTGTCTTCTACGAACATTTTAAGCCTTGGTTTTTAAGTTTTTGAAATTCAGCAAAATAGTTTTTTTTTTTGTCACTGGTTAAAATGATTGAATGAAATAAAGAAAAGAAATACATTTTTCTCTTTCGAAGTTCGTACACAACTAAAACTTGACCCTAAACTGATTCATATGTAAATAGCAGAATATTTCAAAAAAAGTTCTTCCAAGTTGCCACGCTTCTTAACTATTCGCAGCTATTTCTGAATCCATAAAAGACCGATTTTCATGAAATCTGCGAGATTATACCCGAATTGCTACGCATGTTTAGCACGAAACTTATCGAACAGCATGAAGCAGAAATATTCCTAGAGCATCTACGTAGATGCATTTCTAAATCAAAAAAAAAAACATAAAAATTAAAAAAAAGCCGCTACATATTTTTGGCGATTAAACTCGATATGCTAAACGGTAGTAAGTGTACGAATTCGGTGTTACCAAGCCATATGAAACAGGTAATAGGCATTGGAGCAAAAACCACATTTACTTTTATTGTTTTTTTTTGTGCTCAAAAAATATTCTCTACGTACATTTTGGCAATTTATTTTTTTTTTTTTTGTAAAAAGAAATTAAAAAATATTTGACAT